TTTTTTTTTTTTTTTTTTTTTTTTTTTTTTTTTTTTTTAATATAAAAGCATCAATATTACTGAAACATATCATTGCTTCTCTGTTGAACTTTGCAGGGGGATACCATAGGGTTTACAGACACATAACTTGGTAAGAATATTGGAGTTAGCACAAAGAATTACAAATATTCAACAATTTTAAAAATATTTTCAATTGTAAGACAAAAAGGCTAAATTGTGTTTGTTTCCTTTTGAAATTTATGTATTATACTATGGTCACCCATGTATTTTTATTATTATTATTTTTGTTTCATTATTTGTGGGGTTTAAGCCATTTAGATAATTTAATAAAATATTTGGAAAGATATAGAGAAGTCATGGACGTAGGCTGTTCTGTGCTGGAGGAATGTTACTAGTATAAGAAGCAAATAACACAAAAAATACAGCAACAAAATGAAACAAAACAAAATTTAAAAATGTTTATTGTTTTATGTATTTCTCAAGTAGTATAAGCAGAAGTAGGACACACCTTTTTCATTTATTTGTCATTTGTTGACTTTGGACACCAAAGCTGATCCATTAACCCATTCTCTTTAAACCAACTTACCTTCAGAATGTCTTCTCCCTTGGATTCCAAGCCTTTTCTGCCCTCATTCTTCTAATCTCCTTTTATTATTATAGAAAACCAAAAGAACTAATAAAGCAAAACAAAACTCAGAAGCCAAAATATGTAAAGATTAAGTCCTCTAACACAGAATATTTATAGAAGGTGAGAAAAGCCAAGCACTGTATTGTCTAAATAGCCTCAGATTTTAGGGAAGGACAGGTACACAGTTAACTGTGCAAATTTTTTTAATCAACACAGTCCTGAGTTTAAATTCTACTCTGCCATAAACTAGCTATGTGATCTTGGAAATGTTAATTAACCTCTTGAATTTGAGCTTTGCTTATGTTATACAATGGTTAAAACATATCTATCTCATAGGATTAGTGTAAATGGAATGAGATAATGTAGCTAAAATATTTAGACAGTGCCTTGTACTAAACAATACAAGAAAATATTTTTGAGATTCTGAGAGTGTTAAAGACAAGATCAAGGGTTAAAACCATTGGACAAATTCAAGCTGGTAGTTGGGTAAGACATAAGAGCTAATATATAGTATTTCTGAGGTGAAATACTATATTTGAAAGGATCAGGTTCAGCCCCAGTAAACAAAGCCTCTTTACCTTCCAAGGTTTTGAGTTGGCCAGACTATATGCACATCCCCTAAGAGGAAGAGTTATGCACAATCATATTGATGTAATAGGATAAACATAAAGGTAACAACTAACAATTTTTGATGGCTATTTTACCCCTAAAAAACAATCAGTATTGTTCATAAAATTATCAAGAAATACAAATGAATCTAATGTCTTATTTTACATTAGAGAAACTATTTTAATGACATAAATATATGAACATAATTGAACTGCATATAAAAAGTGTTAAGCCAATATTTACTATCTAATATGTTATAAATAGCCCTGCCTTCACATACATTTCCTCTAGGGAAAAAATATAATTATTTACTTTCTATAGATATTTAGTGTTCATCAAAGTATCTTTGTTATTAAATTAATTTGGGAGGGGGAGGTGGTTAAGAAAACACTGCTAAACCAGTACATGTAACTATGTGATTTATATAATAAATACAACCACAGTGGCTATATATTTTCTGGGTGTTAATAGCCTGAAATCTCTTTCAGTAGCAGCATTAATCAGTCAAGGATGGGTTATTTTATGGACTTTAATGGCCTTTGTTGATAGATGGAGATTTTGTTTACAGATTATTCTTCATTGAACCACCATAGATTGCAAGCTATGAATCTTAAGAGATATTCTTAAAACATAAATTATACTGCTAAGAAATCTGTTCCGAGCTAAATTAAATTAGATAGTTGTGTTTTTTATGAAGCATAGGTAATGGAGCAGTGTACTACAAATGCCTTTCCTGAGACATTAGTGTAGAGTACCTTTAACACATAATTTTTTTCCCAAGAAACATTCCTGGGCTTGCGTGCAAGTTTATGAGCCTACTTGTTGTTTCTCCTGAGTAATTCATGTAAAACATATAACATTTGAAATGTACTTACGATGTTTGACTATTATAATGAATAACTGCCTTCAGGTCAAACATTACCAACAATTTTCATTTTTTAAAATGAACTGAAAGAGTAGTGCTCATTTATATTTTCCATATGTCTTAATAATGTTGAATATACTGAGAATTCAGTAGCAAAAGTTTTAATAATTGTTGCAGTCAGTGTTTTGTTTCACATTGAATAATTTTTTATTGTACCTTTTTGGGAAACATTATTCATGGGCTTGTAGTACATGACTATCATTCATGCTGATTTTAATAACATTTTGCTCACATACATCTTTAGATTGAGTACAGAGTCTACAATTTGGGTATGATTCTCCTACTTCAGAATATATTTTCTTTTCCAAAATGTTACTGACTTTTAAAATTTCTAGCTAGGGACAGAATTTTTTTCTCATTTTTCTTAAATGGAGAGTAATATAACAGCTGCGGGAAAACAAATGTGATTGTATTTGACTAAACTAAACTAAACAAACCAAGACACTCAATTTAATTCAATGTGAAAGTTGGAATTTTAAGAGAACTTAAATGCATGACTTCTTGAAGAATATTATCGGACCAGGTCATATCGTTTTTATTTGATGACTTTTTCCTTTTTGTGTTTTTTATTTTGGTGGGAGAGGTTCCCCCTGTGGCACCCAGGCTGGAGTGCAGTGGCTCAATCATGGATCACTGTAGCCTAAATCTCCTGGGCTCATTCTATCCTCCCACCTCAGCCTCCAGAGTAGCTGGAACTATAGGCATGTGCCATCACAACCAGATAATTATAATTTTTATAATTATAAAATTATAATTACATTATAAAATAATTGTAATTATTATTTGTAGAGATGAGGTTTAAATTAACCAGGTGGGTCTCAAACTGCTGTGTTTAAGCGATTCTCCCACATCAGCCTCTCCAAGTGGCTGGACTATAGGTGTACCCCCATCATGTCACCTATTTTATTTTGTAGAAGTGAGGTTTTGTCATGTTGCCCATGCTGGTCCTAAACTCCTGGACTCACGCAGTCAGGCTGCCTCAGCCTCCCACAGTGCTGGGATTAAAGTTGTGAGCTACTGCACACAGCCTCTCCTTTAATATCGAGCAAAGTGTTTCCATACAAATCCCCTCAGATTTTTTGCTCTGAAATACCCTCAGAGCTATGCTTAGTCCTTTTTTAGCTCTATTACTTTTACTCTATTTGTCAAAGTATTTCAAGTTAAAATATTATTTTAAAAAATTTCATACGTGTGCAAGTATTCCCACAATAACCAAAATGACATAGGCAAAGCCTTTCCAAAGTGCAGAAGTATGAGGTTGGTGCAAAAGTAATCACGGTTTTGGCCATTACTTTCAAAGGCAAAGACCGTGATTACTTTTTTACCAACCTAATAGCCTGTTTAACAGTGTCTTGCTCATGACGTCATATCTCTTCCTTACCATGATTCTTCATTTAACTGTAAAAATTCTTTGTAGTAGGCAGTAAAAAACTTAGTTATCATTGATTTATTGAGCGACCTATTATTTATTCTAATATATTAAGATAATAAAAATTTTAAAATCTCCATTAACCTCTAGTCTGTTATATTTTCTTATGGATTGAATTGTTATGCTAAGACAATTCTAATGGTAGGTACTATAGTTTAATTTCTACTCTTAACCTGAAACAAGAATAAATTTGGCATGCAGACAAATTTATATAATGTTCAAAACATGAACATATGCCAGGAATTGAGAGATTTCTGAGGGCAGGGACCTAGATTTTCTGTATGTCTTTCCTTCTCTTCTCTCTGTTCTTCTTCTGCCATTCTTTAATATTTTTCCATATTTAATAATGCCACCTGTTATATTGGGCACTGGGCAAGGATATGGATAGAATCATATGTTTGCCCCAGGATCTTCTACCAATAATATTATTAAATATAGAAGAGTTTATATCCCATTATTTTTACCACATGTGGTACACATAAATTTCTTTTTAAAACTTCTATTTATCTTGTGACTAGTTTAGATATATTGAATTATTGTATTATTTTCTTTATGTAAAACTGTTATTAAATGTAAGCATTTGAAACAACCTATTTTAACAAATAATTTTAGCATTATTTTTGTTTTTTTAATTACAATAAATATTAAGTATAAATTACTTCAACTAAAAGACCTTTATTACTTATATTAATCTTCTTAGCCAACTGAAATGAGTATATCTTTTCCAGAAATTTACTATAATTTTATAGTATATAAAATGATCTAGCCTTAGTTTTATGTCTCTAGGGAATTCTGCATTAAAAGTTTCAGATTAGTTAGACTATGAAACAGAAGACAAAGCTTTATAAGGCTGTTCTTACATATCCCTGTTCCTCTCTCATCCTTCTGTTAGGAATTCTGCCATACTCTTGGTTTCTGATGGATTCGATGTGGCTTGACCTTAAATTTGGACCATCCTTTAAACAATTCATCTGTGCTCTCTGTTACATGCTTTCTGAACAAGTATGGCTTGACTCTTAGGTTTCTGAAAACATTTCAGCCTAATACAGTACTAATTTTTCTGGCCTATGTCCAAACTGGCATCTCTCCATAATCTCAACCCTGACCCATTGCTTCAATGTACGAGATGGCACGCAATTATAAAATCTTTATTTTGTTTTACTTAGTTTCCATCTGTCTTTCTGTTAAGCAAGAAGGACACAAACCAGGGAAGCATCTTTAGGCACTATGTGAAAGCTCCTCAATGGAGTTGTGATTATTCTCCCCTATCTCAAAACTGAAAATGATTCTTGTCCTCTGTGAAGGGTTTCTAGTAGTTGCTTTTGGAGTTGTTAGTTTGCCTTTCATTGTATTCATTCTCATCCATGGTAGACATTCTTTGGCAGCAATTCTCACCTCTCAGGAATTAGAATCATCATTACTGTGGTCAGCTACTACAGAAAAACTAAGGTACATTGAGGAAAAAAATGCCCAAACATATGAGTTCTTCACATGTCTCCTCTACTCCACCTCCCCATTCACTGACTAGCTACAATGATAAAGCCCAGTTCCCAGATTCTCCATGAAAGGAGTTAAGACTACAAGTCTAACACTCTGTGTTTTCTAGCTCCTACCTGAGGTCTGGCTTCTAACTCATGGTTTATGAAAGCTGTGAGATTGTCACTCATTATTTATGTGTGGACAATGGAAAACAAAGCAGCCATTTTAAACAGACATGTGGGTGTTGACACAGTTCCTTCCTCTTACTCACTCAGGGGTAAAAGCAAGCCCCTAGCTCCATTCAGGAAGGAATTGATCTACGAAAGTATCCCCTCAACTTTTCCAGCTACTACATGAGGAACTAGCTTCCAACTTAAGTGTCTGTGAGAACTAATGGAGATCAGCATCCACTAGGCCCATGGAAGCTATAGATATCAAAGCAATAGTTTGAAAAAGTGTGTGGCTTGAATGAGCTTGCCGACATTTGCCTTAGCTCTTCTCCCCAGCTCAGTTTGCATGAGCAGGTTATGCACTCAGCTCTTCCCTGAGGAAAGAAGAAACTGGAAATTCCAGTTAGTGCCCAGCATTTATGGCTACTACTAAAAAGGACTGGTATCTCACCTGTTTCAGGTCAGTGAGGAGACCTGGCATACTCTAGACACCCAGGGACCACAAAGAAAAAAAAGCAGCATTTCTGAAAATCAGAAAGGTTTAAGAGGTACCCAGAATTTCTAGCAGGGCTAAATTGTGAGGGTCTTCCCATATATGAGACCAATCTATGAAAACTAAAAGAAGTGACTGGTTTAGATAATCTGCAGACACCACCGAACAGTAAAGGAAATGAAGAAATAGAGAAATATGTTCCAGATAAAAAATCCAGCAAATACTCAGAAATAAACCTAATATATTGGAGATAGATGATTTATACAACAAATAATTCTAAGTGATGGTCATAAAGATAGATGTTCAAGTTCAGAACAGCAGTGTAAAATCTGCACATGTGGCCCTGAACTTAAAATAGAAGTGCTTTTTTTTAAAGAAAGGATCAGTAAACTAATTAGAAAAAAAAAAAAAAAAGCAGGGGGCGTGTTGGGTTTCACTAGAAACCATCCAGAGTAGCCAAAAATGAAAAAGGAGGCAGAGTCAATATAGCTTAAAACCTATGGGAAACCATCAAGTGGACCAATTTAATCATTATGAAAATATGAAAAAGAGAAGATAAATATAAAGGGGCAAAAAGCTTATTTTAAAAAAATAACTTGTCTCCATATCCTAGGTAATCTAGAAAAAAAAATAAAAATAATTTTTTAAATGAGAAAAAACTTCTCAAATTTGAGGAGGGAAATAAACGTCTAGTGCTAAAAAGTCAAAAGGGCATCTTTTGACTTTTGATCCATACCAAGACACATTATCATCAAATTGGGAAAAGTTAAAAACAATTTTGAAAGCAGCAAAAGAAAAGCGACTTGTTATGTATTAGGGAACCCTCATAAGACCATTGGTGGATTTTTAGCAGAAACTTTGCAGACTAGAAGGGAGTTGGATGATATATTTAAAATGCTGAAAGAAACACACACACACACACACACACACACACACACACACACACACACACA